GGAAGACACAAATGTAAAAAAATTGTCACAGAAAGTCTACTTTAAACAGAAGATTTTCTAAACAATCACAGAACTTCATTTAACCCAATTATGGGTAGCTAAATTATAAAAATATTACTTTCCTTTTGAATCTTGGTCACAGGGGGCCACATACACAACAATCCCACCGTCCATCTAAGAATTTCTGTGCTGCTTCCAGTTATGATAAGTAAACTGAAATCCAAAGTACAGTCATGTACCACAATAACACTGCATCTATGGTAATGGTCTCATTGGTTATACCATATGACCTAGGTGTGTAGTAGGATATACTATCTGGGTCTATGTAAGTACACTCTTGATTTTTGCTCAATGACAAATTTGCCTAGCGATGATGCACTACTCAGAACGCAACCAAACTGTGGAGCAACACATGACCATTAAATGAAAATTCTAGGACACATCAGTGTTTCACAGGGATAATAAAACAGCATGGATAACCCTGCAAATCTGGGGTATATGGTCACTACAGAACAAAACAAGAGCGGTAGAGAACTTCCTATCTATTCGTCTCCTCCTAGTGCCTCAGGTGCACCCTACCCTGATACTACACCACCCCCTGACGCCCATATTATGCAAAGTGGTCTATGCTTTAAATGATCTATTTTCTTCTTTTCCCAAAAACCCTATTCTCAGCAAAAACTGTTAACAGTCAAGGATGAAGTAATCAAAACAAGTCCACTCATGAGTAACTTCCAAATATCAATATTTGCTTTTGGGAGATGGGGGAAAGCAAGTGCGGTTAAGGATATTGTTTCATTTAACCTAAAATCTTGTATATAAACCAGTATACTGTGGTATTTCAAACCATTTAGCAAAAGAGGAATGAAAATATTTAGAACCTGTGTGTGAATATACCAAAAAAACCCTAAAACATTATTAGAAATGCCTTTAATAATTACTGCCACAATATAACTTCCCATAAAAGCATCTTACTGTTTATTTGGTCTCCCTTTTGAGACTATTTGAATAAAATTTTATTAATTTGCCTCAGTTCCCTACAGAAAATTCCAAGCATAAGCAAGGATTTTCTTTGGTGCTGGCCTGACACTAGGCTGGACAACAAGTTTATTTGGTTTTGGTTCAGCATTTTACCTAATAGACATATGCTGCAGGAAAGAATGAATACTTAGAGGAAGTAAAAATTTTAAAAATAAATTTTGGCAGCATATCCATGAAGGGTTTGTGAGAGCAGCAAACTAGCATTTACAAGCCTAAAACTGACTTAAGCGTATGTAGCAGTAACATACATTTTAGGAGGTGGCTATGTGTAACTCAAGGCAGTTAGCTTGAGTTTCGGTCACTGTGTCCTGCATTTTCTGGGCCAGTCTCAATTTGTAAGATTTTCTGCCTTTATCATACCAGATATCTTAATTTTAAAAATTAATTTTTTTAAATAATCCAAGACAAAAGCCTATGCACCAAGATGTCTGCCTATTCTATTTTGGCACAGACTATATAAACCAAATATTATTCAACCACTATTTTCTCTCATTACTATTGTACAAGAACATTAATGTCCCTGACTTTTACAAGAAACACTAGCAATTTTTTCTCACTACTCATTAAAGCTATGCCCTGTGTTTTAAGAGTTATTAATATATGTTCTTCAGAATGAAGGGTTTCTAAGTCAAGAATACATGTACTCTCCTAGCAGATTATTTAAGAATTTGGATAAAAGAGCTAAATAAGCACATATCATTAAAAAAAAACCTGTCAATATTATTTTGATGAACCAAACGAATTAAGGAATTCTTGGTACTGTAGACAAAAATCTTAAGGCAGGTTCCAAATAAGTCCAGGAAGCGGTCCCCTTTGTCCCTTTTTTGATGGTCTGTACTGTATAGTATATATTGATATATTAGCTATCACAGATAAGTTCAAAAATAAACTGCTGATAAGGTTTAAATATTTCCACAATTGGTCTTTTCAAATATAGGGGCTTTTCCCATCTCCCTTCCCATAAAGGAAAACTTAATGCAGCTCAGACACAAGTGGAGATGTTAAGGAAATGGACTTCAGCCTTAAGTAGTAGTAGTATGAAGTCTTACATTTGTAAAGATGCCCTGAAGTAAAATCATAATCTTAGTCTGCATGAGACCTGAGAATCAACAAACCCCAAATTTAGAGACTATAAAATGTCCATTTAAAAGCTTGAAAAATTATTTTTTTAATTATTTCAGGGGTTATGTGTGCTTGCCAAAGACAGAGAGGTGTGGCAGTGGGAGGGGGAAGCACCTCCCAGTGGGGCATGGTCAGCTGTAATCTCTTCTCTACTTCACCATCCTGTTGGGAATTTGGTCACAGACACATACAAGTGCCCGGCATGTTTTTGAAGCAGTAAGAGCTAGGATTCAAAGGGCCATGTGGTATCAGGCTCCCTTTACCACTAGGCTACCAGGCCCAGCCTCCCAAACTCTAGCTTTACTCATTTATTTAGTAAACAGTAACTGGATGCCTACTTCAGCCAGGGTCTACACTGGGAACGAAATTGATTCTTTCTAACTTGTTACTGCTAGTGGACTCTTACCTGAAGAGTATAAACAAAGATTTATAAGAGCTAGGAGGAGATTTATCTCTTTTAGTTTTTTTGGAGGTATGGATTCTTTTTGAAAGGAGATCTGAGCGGAGCTTTAAAGGACACAGGAGTGGGATGGAAGGATGAACATTCTGAACAAATGAGATAATATGTAAAAAAAGAACCTAAGATGGTCTGCAGTATCCTCAGAAGTCCCAAGTTATGAAAAAACTGCAAGTCAATTCCTCCCTCTCTCACAAGCACACAAAATGCAATATGCATCCAAATACATTTTCAGAGGTAAATGTCCATCACTCTCATCTGATTATAAGAGAAGCAAATCCCCCAAACCCCAGTGAAGATTAAGAACCACTGCTGTAGGTACCTTTGAGCTCAAAAGCAGAGTGATTTGATTGGATTAACAGACAGGAGAGATGGCTGTGGCAGCAGCAATGTGAAAGATTAATATCAGGAGACTAAGACTGTGACTAGTTGGGATGCTATGATTTGGTGCAACATATTTGGAAGAAATAAAGACCTAAAGTAGGAAAAATGGGTAATATGAGTAGGGAAGTAAGGCAGAGCATGGCAAAATGTGTGCAAGGTAAAATCAGCCTAACGTGGACAATGAAACAAATAAACCTAAGGAAGAGGGCTGGGGAAAAAAGAATTAGGGTCTTCAGCATTCTACCTTAGGGAACTAGGTAATGCCAAAAACTTATAGAGAATACAAGACCACCCACCATCCAGTCTCCCAACGTTTTCAGGGAGAGAAGTTAACTTCAGTTGCAAATCTTCAACAGCTCAT